CGTGCGCGAGGAAGATGCACTTCCGGAGCCTTGGAGCGGGCGTCGACGTTGGCGACCCACACATGGCGCGAGTAGGCGTCGATGAAGGTGAGGGTATATTTCTCGCCGTTGATACCGTCGAAGGCGAGTACGATAAAGTCGCTGTATACTTTCTCCAGCTTCTTGTAACGGTTGGTGCTCGGCTCCAGAGAGGGGTAGGCGCTGTGGGAGAGCGCAGCTGTGGGGCAGACAGTGCAAGTGACCGGTTGTGGGGTGTTGTGCGGTTCTGTTCCGTCGGGGCGCAGCAGTGCTCCTGGCGGAAAAACCTTAGCGCGGAGGCAGTTGGCGAGGGTTTGGCGCGAGGGGTGTCCCAGACGCTGGTGCCAGAGATCATCTTCGGCGCGAATGCCGGAAGTGCGCTTGTAGCGAGCGTAGTGCTCTGCTGCTTCTGTCTCCGTTTCTTGCGGAATCTGGAGTGGGGGTTCTTCCTCTTCTCCTGGTTCCGCTTCGTTGTCCGGCTCCTCTGCTTCTGCTTCCGCCGTTGTCTCCCCTTCTGCAGATGCCGTTGTGAGGTAGAGGGCGATAAATTCGCGATCGGGGATGATGGTGAGCGGGGTCGTGGTGCCTTCGATAAGGCGAGCGAACGGATCTGGGCGGGAGATTGGACCAAGAGAGTCACGAGGAGGAGTTGGCGGTACATTTCCCTCCTCAATCTCCGACCAACGATCACGCCACCGATAGGGGGAGGAGGGAGGTGAGCGGGTGCGCGGGGGTCGACCGAGTGGAATGGCGACACGAGGGGATGGTTCTCCGCGCTCAGCTTGCATCTCGCGTTCCATCTCTTCTTCTTCTTCTTTGGTGAGCGGAGCGTCCACGTATTCGTCTCCTCCCCATCCGCCGGTGTTGCCCCATCCTCCCGTGGTGACCGTGCCGCTGGCGCTGGCTCCCCATGCTCCAGTGGCGGATCCCCAGGTTGCGCCTTCTTCTGGTTCGTAATCTTCGTCTCCCCATGCGCCTCGTCGTGCTGACTCCTCGTCCCAGCCGTCCGCGACGCGTTGCTCATAAAGTTTCTGTTTCTTTTCCGCCCGTTCCTTGTCTTGTTCTTCCTTGACGCTCAGCTCCTCTGCTGCGTCGGGATCCTTCCAGGCTGTGTCGATCTCCGTGCGGTAGACTTCGCGAGGGTAGGGGCGTGGGCGTCCCTCCTTGTCGTAGGTGCCGGTGTTAGCTCGTAAAATAAACCGGAGCGTCTCTGCATATGGTGTTGGTCGTTCGACACGCATTTGCCCGAAGTCGTCGTTTGGTTCGCCGAAGATGCGATGAGTTGTCACGGCAAGTTCTTCTTGTGTCATGCCCGTAGGTTCTGCCTCGGCACTCTCCGCTTCCTAAATTGCCGCGTACTCCTTTTCGACTTGGTCTGTGCGGCTCGCCGTGGGTGTGTGGCAGGTGGTGCATAGTCCATTGAGGTCGTGCAGGTTGATTTCGCGGGGATGGGGGCTACGGCGAATCCATGGTCGTCCGTCTGGGTGCTCCCATTTGCTTATGTAGGCGAACTCGAGGGGGACGAGGTCCACGAGCTCGTCGGATGAAGCTTGGTAGGAAGGTACGTCGAAGTCTAAGACGTAGATTCCGTTGATTGAGCGGGCTCGTTCGAGGTATTTGAACGACTTGGGAGGGGTATCTGGGGGAGCGTATGTGAGGATGAGATCGCGCCGCAGTCGCGAAGTTGTCCTGCCGAGAGAAGATTGAAACGAAGATTTGGGACGTAGAGTACGTCGTTGAACGAAATGTGTGTGTTGATGTCTCGTGCTTGCAGAACCACGATGCATTGCGCATTGGCGCGCAGCTGCTCGTTGTTGGCGACGGTGACGTAAGTTGGGGGGGCGCGGCTCAGGTTCGAGACGTATCGCGTGGATCCCACCATGTGCTGTCCGCAGCAGCTGTCCAGGTACCAGGTGTTGTGGTTGTCAGTGTTGTTTCTGCGCAGAAGTAGCGCCAGTCGCGGAGTCACCAGGGTCGCCTTGTAGCGACTATGGAAGAGAGGGTCTTCATCCTCCTTCCATCCCACCGGTACGTAGTGTTGATTGTCATGCGGCGGGCTTTCCCGCAAGGTGATTGGCTGGTTCCAATCCTGCTCGTCTTCGTCATACCGGTAATAGTGGTCTTCAGTGAGGGGATTATTCCAACCCTCTTCTGGTTCAAGGAGTCTCCCTTGAATCTCATTTTCCTCGTCATGTTCAGCAGTGCGACGTCGGCGCGTCACCATATTTGCGATGATGTTTCTAGGAGCTCCTGATTGAGATCCTTGAGTTTGCTGATGTTGATGTTGTGCAGGAGGACGAGGTGTCTGATGCTGAGGATTACGAGCATCTTGTCGGCCGACCCAGTTGTTGTGGTGAGTGGAATTTGGGTGGCGATAGTTGGATCGGGACTTGCATCGATCCGTTGAATGTCCGAAGACTTTGCATATTTTGCAATAGTGGCGCCTTGGTTGTCGTCGCTCTTCACGGTTGTCAGCGTAGAAGGCGAGTTGCTCTCGGCGCGGCGCTGAGCTTGTTCTGCTCGAGTCCATGTCCTGCTGCTCAGTCAGGAGTGCGGCGCATAGCGCGGCTTCAGAGATGATTCCTCGCTGTCGGAGTAGCGCTTTGCAGGGCTTCCACTCAGGCCCGAGTCCTTGAAGGACTATGTTGACGAAGATCTCTTCCGAGATTGCGCTCCCATGCTTCGTGATCTGGTCACGGATGTTGCGACAGCGGTTAATATAAGAATTCGCTTTCTCCCCGTGCCCCATCTTTGTCTCCATGAGTTGCTGCAGGAGCCTGCTGGCTGTAACCGAATCCTTCGGCTGATATACCTCAATGAGGTGCTTCCAGGCTTCCAAGGCTGGAGCGGCGCTCTCTTTGTAGGAGCGGATGCTTAGTTGCTCTGCAGGCGTCATGTTGCGTAGCAGCACGCTATACGCCATGAGGGACTCGCTGTAGTACTGAGCCCTGGCGTCGTCGGTGTCGTCCACCGGTTTAGAGTAGGAGCCGTCGAAGTAATGGTAGATCTGCGCTGTCTGTAGGAGGAGCTCAAGCTCAAAACTCCATGTATAGAAATCCTTGCCGTCAAAGGCGGCGGTAGTCTTGATTTTTGAAACGCTGAGGAAGCGTGCTTGCGCAGAGTTAATGATTTCATCACTTGGACGGGGGGCAGTTGTTGTTGATTTGTCTGTGTCGAGGGAGAAGGTGTGCGCGGCGGTATCACGGCTTTTCGTTGCCGGTTGTCCAGGTTGAGCTGGATGGGAAGAGGTTCCCGCATCGCCTTTGCGCAAATCTTGGAGTTCTTTCTCCATGGTTGAAAGTCAAGCGAATAACTGCTCGAGTGCGGCAGTGCCGATCGTAGTTGTCGCCTCATTTGTCGCAGCCGGGTTGGTTTGTCCTTCAGCCGTCAGATTAGCTTGGCCTCCGGATCCTCCGGCCATCTTGGTCCTGGAGCGTGTGCCGCTCGCCAGATTTTGGTTCGGCGAATTTCACGGAAGTGAAGTTGCGAAGAATCCCTGAATAGCTCTCATACCATGTTACAATCCCAAGTGGGACTTAGCGAAGGATCGCTCAGGGTTGATCGCAGAGTAGTGTTGCAGCGGAAGATTTGAATCTCAGGTCAGAGTGAATGCAAATGACTGAGTTGATAAAAGCATGCATTCATCGGGTTTATATAAGAATACAGGGGAATACGAAAGGACCTAGACTAGCCATGTACTCTAAGGGGTACATTCCCTTATTGCAGCGAAATTCAAATCGTGCGGCGCGGGAACCCGTTTCAAACCTGTTCCCGCTCTTTTCACTTCAAATGTTTCTGCCTGCATCGGTCTTGGTCAGACGGTTGCTGCGTCGCTTCGACTCTTCTGACTCCTCGACTTCGTACTCGGTAGAGTCGGCTCCTGCAGCATACAGGAATGCCTACTCATGTAATTTCATATCACAACAGAAGGCGCAGGCGATTGAAGATACTTCGAAACACATCCCTGAATATACAGCATCAGCACTAACAAAATCGTTGATGTGTGTGTGCGTGCGTGCATGCGTGCGTGCGTGCGTGCGTGGGAGCAGAGCCCAGAGAAAATAATGGCTGTGGGAGGGGCGTGATAATGAGGGTGGGTCAGATTCCACCTCATCTAGCCTTGTAGACATTCTTAGGACCATAAGTTAGTTTGTGAAACTCGCGCTCACACCTGAAACTTCTCTTGTTCATTTGGTATCGAACCAGCTTGTATGAGGTCAATGCCTGCTCTGGCGTCGATGGGATTGGAACGGTTGGATCGCGTTCCGTTCGACAACCAGGTCAACGCGTTCCAGAGTAGCCCATTAGCCTGCTCGCTCACCGCGTTCTGCGGTCGCTAAGCCAATCAGTCGTCGACTTCTTTCTCGTGTCTGCCTGACACAATGAGCGCACCTCCCGCAGACCCTAGTTGTCCGCAGCCGAGTTCTTGTCGGCGATGTGGTAACACGGCGAGGTACTGCGTCCCCCGCAAAGAATGGCGCCATCAGATAATCATAACCGACTCCTCCCCTCAGCGAATGAATGCACGTCGTCGCCTCTCTCCCTTCGCGTCCCTCCGTCTGCGCCTATCAGAAACGTCCCTCCGTTTTAGTCCCTCCCTTATAAGAACTCCTTTATACTCACAGCCCAAACGCGCACGCTAGATCTCTGGTGTTAGCCGCATTCGCCGCTTCGATTTGCGCGTTCCGTGCTCGCTCTCGCTCTGTCGCTCTCTTTTCGCGATCCCGCAATTCACGCTCGCAAATCGATGGCCTCACCACTCGTTCCCAAAGCATAAATCATCTCCGTCTCTTTCCTTCGCCATCTCACAGCATTTCTCGGGTCCCACACCAGAGATTCTCTGTTTCTTCCACCTCGACCCCCCCACGCGTCGCTGCAGCGTGTTTCTCGCCACAACGTTTCTTGCTCCTCGTCACTAGTTTACCGTCGCCCGTTATCGTCGCTCGTCCCGCCTGTCGCCCCGCCTCCCCGCACTCATCCCCATGATGGAGCAGCGCGCCCGTTCCGCCCTCCGCCGCCTCTCCGCGCTGGCTCTCGTCGCCGGCCTCGTCGCGTTAGCCGGCCTCGTCGCGCCAACCACCGCCAGCAACGCGTACTTCCCTCCCTACCCCTTCGCGCCCAGCAACACGGGCATCTATGTCTTCACCCCGGGCGAGCCTGAAAAGGAAAACGAAGGCAAAGTCCTCAGATACGACCAATCGCTGTGCGCCACCGTGGCGCAAGCCGGGAATCGCTTCGCCAAGGGCGGCGTGGTAAAGGTGCGGTGGGACACGATAGGGTTGAAAGATTACACGTGCAAGCGAGTGACCTTCCACCAGACCCCACGCTGCGGGGGCCGCCCATACTTGGCGCTCGTGCGCCCCGACAAGCCCGGCGGGCAGATGAGCAGCAGCGAACGGCGCGCCATGCTCACACGCAGGTGAGCCCGTCCACCCGCCCTGCTCTCTTCTGCTCTGGTCTGCTGTCGTTTGCTCTTTTCTGCTGTCATCTGCTGTGCTCTTCTCCTGTCTTCTCTGCTCTGCTACATGACAGCATGTCTCTCGCTGCTCACATGCGTCCGCCCATGCCATGCCACGGTCGTGCTGCTCGCAGGGCTTTCATTCCCTCCCAAGTGCCCAAGTCGGTCAAATGCGAGCTCAAATGTAAGTCCCTCTGGCGGAGTGTTGAGTCGTGAGCCCTGTGTGCCATAGTTGCAACTCTACAACCTCAGAAGCATTCACTAAATCCTAGAATCACTCTCTTCCATCCACAACAAAGAATCAAGAGGAATCCTTGCACCTGTGTCCCTGCCAAAGCGTCTATGTTCTCGTGTCCTTGCACATAACGCCCATGGTTCATGCCACCATGGTTCATGCCACCCTGGTTCATGCCACCCTGGTTCATGCCACCATGGTTCATGCCACCCTGGTTCATGCACATTCGCTCCACTTGCTCTCTTCCATCCAACAGCACTCTCCATCCACGTTAATCACCCTGTTTTGCCCAGTTCGTCCTTCCGTCTCTGCATTTTCGTCCCGTTCCACCGATACCTTTGAGCAGGAGCGCAATCAAAGGGGCTGATGGAATAGGCGGGCCAACAGCAACCATCCTAGATCGTAGAATGTTTAGGTCCGATCTATTTATGACAACAGGCACGGCCATATCAAGCCGTGTCACATGTGCTGGATGGTTCATTTGGGTTTTGCGGTGGGATTTTTGTTTCGTTATGTTCTTTTTTCTTAGGGTGGTGGTCCTCAGCAACATTTCCACTTCCAAATACCTTACATGTTGAAAGCAGATCCTGAACAGAGATTAAATAATCATATTCCACTCCAAATACGACCTATTGTACTCGTTGCTATGGGACCCTCAGGGTCGCAATTATCTGGGATAAAAATAGCAGTTAGGTGGTACGAAAAGAATGCTGCACTGTGAGAAAATCCAGAGTATGATAGAACAAGAGCATCCGTAGATGCCAAAAGCAGCCACTCTACAATAATATCAATGAATGCCGCCGATGCATTGGCTTGTGTAGCTTGACTGGGAGAGGGTGGCGATGTGGGTTCAGCATCAGCAGTTGAGGGATTTATGGTGGATTTTAGAGTGTTGGCATGCACCGGGACAATGTCTGATGCCACCACCTGCGAGAAATAGGGGGATGAGTAATGGGAGACGATGGAGATATGCATTTTCTGTTGCAAGTATGGCATGTTTTGCAACATGTATGAAATTACAACCTGATACAGCAGTTACAGTAAGATGATGACAATGACGACGAGGTACTGTGAGGGTGAGTGGTCAGCGGCTGACGAGATGGAGAGCGAGGTGACGAGATGGAGAGCGAGGTGACGAGATGGAGAGCGAGGTGACGAGATGGAGAGCGAGGTGCCGAGATGGAGAGCGAGGTGCCGAGATGGAGAGCGAGGTGCCGAGATGGAGAGCGAGGTGCGGACTTAAGCGTGTTTCTTTGAAGGGGGGGAGTGGGGAGGGTCGGGGCAGGGGGGGGGGAGGATGAGTGCATGTGTGAGTGTGTTTGGGGAGGGGTGTGCATGTATGCACATGGATGTGTGTGTGTGAGAGGAAGGAGAAATGGCACGGGGAGGGGAGGACACATGCCTTGTGGGGGTATTTGAGCTTGAGATCGTCCTTGAGTTGCCGTGAGTTGCTGATGACAAGCCATCTAACGCTGGTGGGAGGGGGCATCCACCAGAACTCCAGCTTCTGAAGGGCAAAAGAGGCACGGGAAAAACAAGGAGAGGGAAAACAGGAAGAAGGGGCGGGGACGAGGCAGGCCATAATGATGCACTGGCGCTGTAGAATGCTCTCCTTTATCATTCCCTGCCTAGCTTCACTCAGACCAACACCTTGACAGACACACCGCCCTTGCTAAGTGCCCCTCGCATCGCGCCCCGAGCTCCAAAGGAGGGCAGCGGAAAACCCTTTTCTTGCATTTTCACATCTGGAATTCTGTCGGCCCAGTGGGGACCCACACAACTGAAACATCATCATGGTTGTAGCTGATTCCAGATTATTAAAGATACCTTTTCCAACGTTCAGCCTTGGATTCCCTCTTTATATTCCCTCACATCCAGTGGAACCCCGAACTCCCATCACCACATGCACCTCAGCGCACGCCATGTAGCTGTGAGCCCACGCCATCAGCACGCCCCTCTCCCCGTCGCTCAGCACCTTGGGCTCCCCAAACCCCTCCTTGCCCTCCCACACAAACGTGTCGTTCGCTCTCAGGTGCACCCCCACCACCGCCACCCTGTGGCCCGAGGAGCCACCAGAGGCACCGGAGTGGGCAGCGGTTGGAGAGTGAGGTTGGCGGAGCAGGGAGGAGGGGGCGGGGGTGGACAAGAGGCGGTGGTACATGGCTTCCGCCTTTGCGATCACATCTGGCTGCGGCCTGGAGGGAGGGGGTGTGTGGGGCGGGGAGGGGCAAGAGCGTTGCAGGGAGGGGCATGATTGGAAGTGTCCTCGACTCCTTGAACAAAGGTATCAAGTGGCCCTGAATCACCCTTGAAGGAGCTGGGAGTGGGAATTGAGACGGAAGTACGATTTTAGAAGCCTCAAATTAACGTTTGAGAGCCACGAAGCAATCATACGATACGAGAGCAGCACCCCTTCACGGGTCACGGCGAGTGAGCTGATAGCATCAAATCAGACACGAGTGGTGCAGGTGGAATGTCATGTCACATGTGCGTCTGTGGGGTCATGACTCATACATACGTGACCCGATGGAGTGATGCCAGAGTGCTGATGGGGTCATGGCATGCACGAGGCAACGGAGTCTCACTTGAGGAGAAAGCGAAGGATGCAGCCGAAGGCGTATGGAGGGCGCATGGCCATGCCCTTGAGGCTCTCACTCCACTTCTTTTCCACCGCCTGTGGAGAACTCAGAGAGGAGAGGTGATGAGCAGCCGAGCTCATCAAGCACATGAGACTGGCTCCCGTGTAGGTTATCGCTAGCACATGTTCGTTTAAGAGACGTTTAAGAGAGGGCCATATGAAGTGTGCGCTTGAGGCGGGGGAATGGGGGGGGGGGGGAACGGTGGTGGGCGTAGGAGGCCACATGCAGCAAGCTAAGGGAGAGCAAGCGAGCATGCAGGGGATTTCTAGCATAGGCTCCTTTGAGAGAGACCGCATGAGGTGTGTTATGTTGAGGCATGATGAGCGCACATGATGAGGCTGCATGCAGCTAGGAGGTAAGGAGAGCACGTCCTCATAACACAGAGAATGAAGAGGGGGGGGCGAGAGAGGATGTGGGAAGGTTTTAGCAACAGCAGAGTGAGGTCGCATGCCCATGCCCTTTTTCATTCCCATACATACACATGCCAATATGCCATTATGCATGCACATGCCCGTGCCGATGCCGATGCCGATGCCGATGCCGATGCCCATGCCCATGCCCATGCCCATGCCCCATGCCCCATCCCCATCCCCATCCCCATCCCCATCCCCATGCCCATACCCTGCCCACGCCTATGTCCATGCTGCATGCCCAAGGCCATGCCCATCCGCATGCCCATATCCATGCCTCATGCCCATCCGCATGCCCATATCCATGCCTCATGCCCATCCGCATGTCCATATCCATGCCTCATGCCCATCCGCATGCCCATATCCATGCCTCATGCCCATCCGCATGCCCATATCCATGCCTCATGCCCATCCGCATGCCCATATCCATGCCTCATGCCCATCCGCATGCCCATATCCATGCCTCATGCCCATCCGCATGCCCATATCCATGCCTCATGCCCATCCGCATGCCCATATCCATGCCTCATGCCCATCCGCATGCCCATATCCATGCCTCATGCCCATCCGCATGCCCATATCCATGCCTCATGCCCATCCGCATGCCCATATCCATGCCTCATGCCCATCCGCATGCCCATATCCATGCCTCATGCCCATCCGCATGCCCATATCCATGCCTCATGCCCATCCGCATGCCCATATCCATGCCTCATGCCCATCCGCATGCCCATATCCATGCCTCATGCCCATCCGCATGCCCATATCCATGCCTCATGCCCATCCGCATGCCCATATCCATGCCTCATGCCTATCCGCATGCCCATATCCATGCCTCATGCCTATCCGCATGCCCATATCCATGCCTCATGCCTATCCGCATGCCCATATCCATGCCTCATGCCTATCCGCATGCCCATATCCATGCCTCATGCCTATCCGCATGCCCATATCCATGCCTCATGCCTATCCGCATGCCCATATCCATGCCTCATGCCTATCCGCATGCCCATATCCATGCCTCATGCCCATCCGCATGCCCATATCCATGCCTCATGCCCATCCGCATGCCCATATCCATGCCTCATGCCTATCCGCATGCCCATATCCATGCCTCATGCCTATCCGCATGCCCATATCCATGCCTCATGCCTATCCGCATGCCCATATCCATGCCTCATGCCCATCCGCATGCCCATATCCATGCCTCATGCCCATCCGCATGCCCATATCCATGCCTCATGCCCATCCGCATGCCCATATCCATGCCTCATGCCCATCCGCATGCCCATATCCATGCCTCATGCCCATCCGCATGCCCATATCCATGCCTCATGCCCATCCGCATGCCCATATCCATGCCTCATGCCCATCCGCATGCCCATATCCATGCCTCATGCCTATCCGCATGCCCATATCCATGCCTCATGCCCATCCGCATGCCCATATCCATGCCTCATGCCCATCCGCATGCCCATATCCATGCCTCATGCCCATCCGCATGCCCATATCCATGCCTCATGCCCATCCGCATGCCCATATCCATGCCTCATGCCCATCCGCATGCCCATATCCATGCCTCATGCCCATCCGCATGCCCATATCCATGCCTCATGCCCATCCGCATGCCCATATCCATGCCTCATGCCCATCCGCATGCCCATATCCATGCCTCATGCCCATCCGCATGCCCATATCCATGCCTCATGCCCATCCGCATGCCCATATCCATGCCTCATGCCTATCCGCATGCCCATATCCATGCCTCATGCCTATCCGCATGCCCATATCCATGCCTCATGCCTATCCGCATGCCCATATCCATGCCTCATGCCTATCCGCATGCCCATATCCATGCCTCATGCCTATCCGCATGCCCATATCCATGCCTCATGCCCATCCGCATGCCCATATCCATGCCTCATGCCTATCCGCATGCCCATATCCATGCCTCATGCCCATCCGCATGCCCATATCCATGCCTCATGCCCATCCGCATGCCCATATCCATGCCTCATGCCCATCCGCATGCCCATATCCATGCCTCATGCCCATCCGCATGCCCATATCCATGCCTCATGCCCATCCGCATGCCCATATCCATGCCTCATGCCCATCCGCATGCCCATATCCATGCCTCATGCCCATCCGCATGCCCATATCCATGCCTCATGCCCATCCGCATGCCCATATCCATGCCTCATGCCCATCCGCATGCCCATATCCATGCCTCATGCCTATCCGCATGCCCATATCCATGCCTCATGCCTATCCGCATGCCCATATCCATGCCTCATGCCTATCCGCATGCCCATATCCATGCCTCATGCCTATCCGCATGCCCATATCCATGCCTCATGCCCATCCGCATGCCCATATCCATGCCTCATGCCCATCCGCATGCCCATATCCATGCCTCATGCCCATCCGCATGCCCATATCCATGCCTCATGCCCATCCGCATGCCCATATCCATGCCTCATGCCCATCCGCATGCCCATATCCATGCCTCATGCCCATCCGCATGCCCATATCCATGCCTCATGCCCATCCGCATGCCCATATCCATGCCTCATGCCTATCCGCATGCCCATATCCATGCCTCATGCCCATCCGCATGCCCATATCCATGCCTCATGCCCATCCGCATGCCCATATCCATGCCTCATGCCCATCCGCATGCCCATATCCATGCCTCATGCCCATCCGCATGCCCATATCCATGCCTCATGCCCATCCGCATGCCCATATCCATGCCTCATGCCCATCCGCATGCCCATATCCATGCCTCATGCCCATCCGCATGCCCATATCCATGCCTCATGCCCATCCGCATGCCCATATCCATGCCTCATGCCCATCCGCATGCCCATATCCATGCCTCATGCCCATCCGCATGCCCATATCCATGCCTCATGCCCATCCGCATGCCCATATCCATGCCTCATGCCCATCCGCATGCCCATATCCATGCCTCATGCCCATCCGCATGCCCATATCCATGCCTCATGCCCATCCGCATGCCCATATCCATGCCTCATGCCCATCCGCATGCCCATATCCATGCCTCATGCCCATCCGCATGCCCATATCCATGCCTCATGCCCATCCGCATGCCCATATCCATGCCTCATGCCCATCCGCATGCCCATATCCATGCCTCATGCCCATCCGCATGCCCATATCCATGCCTCATGCCCATCCGCATGCCCATATCCATGCCTCATGCCCATCCGCATGCCCATATCCATGCCTCATGCCCATCCGCATGCCCATATCCATGCCTCATGCCCATCCGCATGCCCATATCCATGCCTCATGCCCATCCGCATGCCCATATCCATGCCTCATGCCCATCCGCATGCCCATATCCATGCCTCATGCCCATCCGCATGCCCATATCCATGCCTCATGCCCATCCGCATGCCCATATCCATGCCTCATGCCCATCCGCATGCCCATATCCATGCCTCATGCCCATCCGCATGCCCATATCCATGCCTCATGCCCATCCGCATGCCCATATCCATGCCTCATGCCCATCCGCATGCCCATATCCATGCCTCATGCCCATCCGCATGCCCATATCCATGCCTCATGCCCATCCGCATGCCCATATCCATGCCTCATGCCCATCCGCATGCCCATATCCATGCCTCATGCCCATCCGCATGCCCATATCCATGCCTCATGCCCATCCGCATGCCCATATCCATGCCTCATGCCCATCCGCATGCCCATATCCATGCCTCATGCCCATCCGCATGCCCATATCCATGCCTCATGCCCATCCGCATGCCCATATCCATGCCTCATGCCCATCCGCATGCCCATATCCATGCCTCATGCCCATCCGCATGCCCATATCCATGCCTCATGCCCATCCGCATGCCCATATCCATGCCTCATGCCCATCCGCATGCCCATATCCATGCCTCATGCCCATCCGCATGCCCATATCCATGCCTCATGCCCATCCGCATGCCCATATCCATGCCTCATGCCCATCCGCATGCCCATATCCATGCCTCATGCCCATCCGCATGCCCATATCCATGCCTCATGCCCATCCGCATGCCCATATCCATGCCTCATGCCCATCCGCATGCCCATATCCATGCCTCATGCCCATCCGCATGCCCATATCCATGCCTCATGCCCATCCGCATGCCCATATCCATGCCTCATGCCCATCCGCATGCCCATATCCATGCCTCATGCCCATCCGCATGCCCATATCCATGCCTCATGCCCATCCGCATGCCCATATCCATGCCTCATGCCCATCCGCATGCCCATATCCATGCCTCATGCCCATCCGCATGCCCATATCCATGCCTCATGCCCATCCGCATGCCCATATCCATGCCTCATGCCCATCCGCATGCCCATATCCATGCCTCATGCCCATCCGCATGCCCATATCCATGCCTCATGCCCATCCGCATGCCCATATCCATGCCTCATGCCCATCCGCATGCCCATATCCATGCCTCATGCCCATCCGCATGCCCATATCCATGCCTCATGCCCATCCGCATGCCCATATCCATGCCTCATGCCCATCCGCATGCCCATATCCATGCCTCATGCCCATCCGCATGCCCATATCCATGCCTCATGCCCATCCGCATGCCCATATCCATGCCTCATGCCCATCCGCATGCCCATATCCATGCCTCATGCCCATCCGCATGCCCATATCCATGCCTCATGCCCATCCGCATGCCCATATCCATGCCTCATGCCCATCCGCATGCCCATATCCATGCCTCATGCCCATCCGCATGCCCATATCCATGCCTCATGCCCATCCGCATGCCCATATCCATGCCTCATGCCCATCCGCATGCCCATATCCATGCCTCATGCCCATCCGCATGCCCATATCCATGCCTCATGCCCATCCGCATGCCCATATCCATGCCTCATGCCCATCCGCATGCCCATATCCATGCCTCATGCCCATCCGCATGCCCATATCCATGCCTCATGCCCATCCGCATGCCCATATCCATGCCTCATGCCCATCCGCATGCCCATATCCATGCCTCATGCCCATCCGCATGCCCATATCCATGCCTCATGCCCATCCGCATGCCCATATCCATGCCTCATGCCCATCCGCATGCCCATATCCATGCCTCATGCCCATCCGCATGCCCATATCCATGCCTCATGCCCATCCGCATGCCCATATCCATGCCTCATGCCCATCCGCATGCCCATATCCATGCCTCATGCCCATCCGCATGCCCATATCCATGCCTCATGCCCATCCGCATGCCCATATCCATGCCTCATGCCCATCCGCATGCCCATATCCATGCCTCATGCCCATCCGCATGCCCATATCCATGCCTCATGCCCATCCGCATGCCCATATCCATGCCTCATGCCCATCCGCATGCCCATATCCATGCCTCATGCCCATCCGCATGCCCATATCCATGCCTCATGCCCATCCGCATGCCCATATCCATGCCTCATGCCCATCCGCATGCCCATATCCATGCCTCATGCCCATCCGCATGCCCATATCCATGCCTCATGCCCATCCGCATGCCCATATCCATGCCTCATGCCCATCCGCATGCCCATATCCATGCCTCATGCCCATCCGCATGCCCATATCCATGCCTCATGCCCATCCGCATGCCCATATCCATGCCTCATGCCCATCCGCATGCCCATATCCATGCCTCATGCCCATCCGCATGCCCATATCCATGCCTCATGCCCATCCGCATGCCCATATCCATGCCTCATGCCCATCCGCATGCCCATATCCATGCCTCATGCCCATCCGCATGCCCATATCCATGCCTCATGCCCATCCGCATGCCCATATCCATGCCTCATGCCCATCCGCATGCCCATATCCATGCCTCATGCCCATCCGCATGCCCATATCCATGCCTCATGCCCATCCGCATGCCCATATCCATGCCTCATGCCCATCCGCATGCCCATATCCATGCCTCATGCCCATCCGCATGCCCATATCCATGCCTCATGCCCATCCGCATGCCCATATCCATGCCTCATGCCCATCCGCATGCCCATATCCATGCCTCATGCCCATCCGCATGCCCATATCCATGCCTCATGCCCATCCGCATGCCCATATCCATGCCTCATGCCCATCCGCATGCCCATATCCATGCCTCATGCCCATCCGCATGCCCATATCCATGCCTCATGCCCATCCGCATGCCCATATCCATGCCTCATGCCCATCCGCATGCCCATATCCATGCCTCATGCCCATCCGCATGCCCATATCCATGCCTCATGCCCATCCGCATGCCCATATCCATGCCTCATGCCCATCCGCATGCCCATATCCATGCCTCATGCCCATCCGCATGCCCATATCCATGCCTCATGCCCATCCGCATGCCCATATCCATGCCTCATGCCCATCCGCATGCCCATATCCATGCCTCATGCCCATCCGCATGCCCATATCCATGCCTCATGCCCATCCGCATGCCCATATCCATGCCTCATGCCCATCCGCATGCCCATATCCATGCCTCATGCCCATCCGCATGCCCATATCCATGCCTCATGCCCATCCGCATGCCCATATCCATGCCTCATGCCCATCCGCATGCCCATATCCATGCCTCATGCCCATCCGCATGCCCATATCCATGCCTCATGCCCATCCGCATGCCCATATCCATGCCTCATGCCCATCCGCATGCCCATATCCATGCCTCATGCCCATCCGCATGCCCATATCCATGCCTCATGCCCATCCGCATGCCCATATCCATGCCTCATGCCCATCCGCATGCCCATATCCATGCCTCATGCCCATCCGCATGCCCATATCCATGCCTCATGCCCATCCGCATGCCCATATCCATGCCTCATGCCCATCCGCATGCCCATATCCATGCCTCATGCCCATCCGCATGCCCATATCCATGCCTCATGCCCATCCGCATGCCCATATCCATGCCTCATGCCCATCCGCATGCCCATATCCATGCCTCATGCCCATCCGCATGCCCATATCCATGCCTCATGCCCATCCGCATGCCCATATCCATGCCTCATGCCCATCCGCATGCCCATATCCATGCCTCATGCCCATCCGCATGCCCATATCCATGCCTCATGCCCATCCGCATGCCCATATCCATGCCTCATGCCCATCCGCATGCCCATATCCATGCCTCATGCCCATCCGCATGCCCATATCCATGCCTCATGCCCATCCGCATGCCCATATCCATGCCTCATGCCCATCCGCATGCCCATATCCATGCCTCATGCCCATCCGCATGCCCATATCCATGCCTCATGCCCATCCGCATGCCCATATCCATGCCTCATGCCCATCCGCATGCCCATATCCATGCCTCATGCCCATCCGCATGCCCATATCCATGCCCATGGGCTCGTCCAGCCATTCGTATGTGAGGAAGCGGATGGAGGGGTCCAGGGGAGGCTGGGGGTACGTGACTGGGGGTGGGGGGGATGGCGGAGGAGGGGGTGGAGGAGGGGGGGAAGGTGGAGGGGGAGATGGAGAAAGGGGAAATGGAGGTGGGGGGGATGGAGGTGGGGGGGATGGGGGAGAAGGAGGTAAGGGGGGGGAAGGGGAGAATGGGGGGTGTGGTGGTGATGGCGGGGGTGGTGGTTTTGGGGGAGGTGGTGATGGTGGTGATGGTGGTGGTGGTGACGGTGGTGGTGGTTTTGGTGGTGGTGGTCTAGGTGGTGGTGGTGCTGGCGGTGGTGGTGGTGACGGTGGTAACGTTGCTGCAGCAGCAGCGGCGGCAGCATTAGAAGCAGCAACAGCCGTCTGTGCAAGGGTGGTGGCGTGGGAGCGGGCAGCCTGGCGAATGCGGGCGTGCAGGGCGGAGTAGTCGCGCGCCCAGGAGCCACAGAGAGCGTGCGAGAAAGTGAAGTCCAGAAAGGAGGCGACGGGGGAGGCAGAGGCACGTAGAGGAGGGAGGAGGTGGCGCCAGGGGAAGGGCGGAATGGGAACATGGGAGACAGGTCAACAGGGATGGAGATAAGGTAGGAAGGATGGGATGATGGGGGTTTTATGGATGAGGTCGTGAGAGATAGGATGAGAGGTTTGAGAGTGAAAGTGAGTGGGTGAGGGTGAAGATTGGTAAATGGGAGGATGAGTGATGAGTGAGATTGGGGTGAGAGCGAGCTGAGTAGTACAAGTTATGGCTCTAGCGTTCTCAAAAGCTCAGCCTTCATAACTTTCACAGGCTGCGAAACAGAACTCACCGAAAAGGCGAGAGCGGCGAGCAGGAGAGTGTTGGCGACCACATCATTCTGTCGGCGTCGCCTCGCCATTTGAAACATCTCACAAAGTCACACCAAGCTGCCGCCTCCGCGCGCCCGTAAGGTGCTTCGTACAGCCACCCGTACGGTGCATGCAACTCACGGTTCGTCTTTAGAACCGAGCAACACCTACTAGTAGTAGGCTCCTCGCGACTCCTGAACTGACGATTTCCGACTGTTGGCAAGGTTACCTAGATGTAACCTCCGCCGGAGGGAAGTTTGGCCCCAAGCCACGTTGTCTAGAGTCTGACAACGATTGCATCGCCATCGGCGCCCAAAAGGAGAGCTCGCCAGCTTTACGATGCCCCGACAATTGGCGTAAGCTGTCGGGACGGGTCAATTGAACTTCAGGTTCACGATTTCGGCAGATTGAGGAGCTCTCGAACACGACTGATGTAACGCGCTCCGCAGTGCGGGAAGTGCGGGGGTTAGGTTACTGACTGACTCACGGATTCTTCCAACTATAAATTGCTAAATGAGTAGAATGCTTTTCGTACGTTATTTGCGGTCTGATTCGTTCTGTCATGGTGCAGTACGGTAATTTCAATCGACCAATATACACCGTACGGAACCGTCCTCAGCTACGATTCATTAGCTGTAAACAAACGAGTTGGACCCCCCCTAACCCTCACCTCCCACCAGTCAGACCTTCACCTAACGAGTGTGGCAAAATCGGGACGGCAGGTCCGAGGCGCACTGTTGTGCAGGGCGTCTACTGTTACGCATGCAACCGTGCGAGGAAACGAGGATTGCACTATCTAGGAAAAAAACAAGAGGCGACGAAATCGTCTTAGGGTTGCTGTTACGAGTGCAATTGAGCGAGCGAGCGAGAATTGCACTATCGAAGCAAACAATACAATGAGCGAAGGCACGAGCGAAGAATATATAGCGGAGCTAGTGTGGTAACGGTAACGCGAGAAAATGGGGTGCGCTACGGGCCTAGCGCCGAGGTTGGGAAATGTCGAGGCGGAGGTCCGGAGCGCGGGTTACCAACCGAACCGTGAGGTTGGGTCGCATCGTGAACAGTGGCGAGAGTCGTGGTCGAGGCGAGTGTCGCGAGCGGGTAACGTTTCACTGCTGGGTACCGATGGCGGGAACTGTCATGTACGCGGTAAGAAGGGACGCGAAGTAAGGAGAAGGAATTTTCCTTACACTACCCCCCTCCCCAAGAAGACCCTCCTTACGAGAGTGCGTGTACATCTCGAAAAATTCGGCTGCGCAGGTACTCGGTGAGGACACGGTGGTTCTCGATTCTATCCAGGGGGAACCAGTTGTCTTCGGTGGGCGTGCGGTCTTTCCAGCGGATTAGAAATTCGATCCTGCGGGCTCCCCGTGGGTCACGCACTCGGTGGCTGAGTATCTTTCAGGCGTGATGATTGGCTCTGTTGGCGGTCGTGTCATGCTGGCGGGGCGGTTGCGAGGCAGTTGGCTGGTGGATGGGACGTATGGGCGAAGCGGGATTACGTGGAATGACGGGCTGACGTACCAGTCAGCAAGGAGGAGGAGGTGGGCGGTGACGGGGGTGATCATGTGGCTGATGCGAAATGGCCCGCAATATCGGGGGCGGAGTTTTGGAGTGATGGGTAGGCGGAGGTTTTGGGTGTCGAGTAGTACCAGGTCGTCGGGCTGGTAAGTAACGGGGCGGCGGTGGCGGTCGGCGTTGCGCTTAGCGATGACGTTTGATTTTTTTATTGCTTCTGCTGCTCGGGTCCGAGCTGCCTGTAATATTTCAGCGAATTGTTGCGCACGTGGCACTGGGTTGTCGGGATTTGGGGTCATGGGTACTGTGGGGTCTTGTTCGTAGTTCAGGTAGAACGGTGACTGTTGGGTCGTGGCGGATGGCGAGTTGTTGTATGCGAACTCGATGAGTGGCAGCTGCTGTTCCCACGTGGTCGGGTCGTCGCACGTGGCTCGGATGAGTTGTTCCATGGTCTGGTTTGTCCGTTCTGTCTGTCCGTCGGTTTCGGGGTGGTACGATGAACTGAACTGTAGTCGCGTGCCGAACTGCTGCTACAGGTTCCGCCAGAAGTTGCTGGTGAATTTCGTGTCGCAGTCGCTGATGATCGCGGCTCGTATCCCGTGTAATCGAACGATGGTGGCGATGAAGAGGCGAGCTGTTTCTTCGGCTGTGATTGATTTCTTGCAGGCTGCGAAATGTGCCATCTTCGTCAGCCGATCGACGACGACCAGGATCGCGTCGTTCCCACTTGCTCCAGCCGGTAACCCCGTGACGAAGTCCATCGTCACCTGTTGCCAAGCACGCTCTGGGGGTGGTATCGGCTGCAACTGTCCTGCTGGTCGCTGTCGTGACAATTTCATGAGCTGGCAGGTGGGACACGATGCCACGTGTTGTTGCATGTCGGTCAGCATTTCGGGCCAGTAGCAATACCGCTGCAGCTGCTGCCGTGTTTTTTCTACTCCGAAATGGCCTGAGGTGACTCCGTCATGTGCCTCTTGTAGCAGTAATTCCCGTAGTAAGGTGTAGCCCGGTACCCAGATCCTATCAGTGCTGGCTTTTACGTAATACACCCCTTTTGCTGCTGCGAACTGCTGCGAGTTTCCTCCGGTGAAGAACGGGTCTGTTTGGTAGCCGTGGGTAAATAGTTCTGTTAGAAATGGGCTGGTCTGGACGAGTAGTATGGCGTGGATTTGGGCAGTGGGGCGGGTCAATGCGTCGGCGATGTTTGATGCCCCCCTTTTGTAGGTGACCGTGTAATGGAAATTCGACTCGAGGAAATCGAGCCAGCGAATCTGTCGTGGGTTGAGGTGGGGCTGTGCGCGGAGGTACTGTAGTGATTTGTGGTCTGTCCATACTGTCACGTCTGCGCCGGTCAAGTAACAGCGCCACACTTTGAACGCGTGCACGATCGCGAGCATTTCGCGGTCGTGTATCGGGTATTTTTTCTCGAGCGGATGCAGTTTTCGTGACTCGTATGCGATGGGCCGCAGGCTGTTGCCGAAATCATGTAGCAGTACGGCTCCAATGGCGATGTCGCTTGCGTCTGTAACCACTTCGAAGGGGCGGTGTGGGTCGGCGATGCGCAGTACGGGCGGTGAACAGAGAACATTTTTCAGGGCAGAGAAGGCAGCATGCTCTTTCTCCCCCCACATAAAAGCGACCCCCTTCCGCAGTAAATCCGTTAGTGGGGCAGTTAACAGTGCCATGTCGGGGACGAACCGACGCACATAATTAACGAACCCTAAAAAACTCTGCAGCTCTGTGATGTTCGTCGGGGGGTGCCATGCTTGTACCGTGTCCAGCTTCTTTGGGTCGATCTCAACCACAGCCTCTGAAATAACGTGCCAAAAAAATTCTAACCCATCCTTGAAGAACTCGCACTTGGAACCCTTGGTCAGTAGTCTGTGCTCGTCTAAAACTTTAAACACTGCTTCCAGATCTGCTAAGTGCTGCTGCGTATCGCGACTGTAGACTAGGATGTCGTCAAGGTAAATTATCACGCATTTATCTAAGAGTGGCCTAAACGCCTCGTTCATGGTCATCTGAAATGTCGTCGGTGCGTTGGTCAGCCAGAATGGCATCACGGTGTACTCGAACGACCCCTACCTAGTCCTAAATGCCGTCTTGGCGCAGTCCAATGGTTCGACCCTAATCTGATGGTAACCTCCCCGTAAGTCAATTTTCGAAAACACCCGTGCTGCTCGCAGTTGATCTATCAGTTCGCCGGCGCGAGGAATGGGGTATCGCGACTTGACTGTTACCCTGTTCAGTTCTCGGTAGTCTATACACATGCGAAACCCTCCGTTTTTTTTCTGTGTGAACAGTATCGGTGCGGCGAACGGTGACGAGCTCGGTCGGATGATTTTATTCTCTAACAGGTAGTCTAACTGCTTCCTCAGTTCGTCGAGCTCGGGCTGTGTCAGTCTGAACTGTCGCTGTACGGTTGGTTGTGCCCCTGGTTCTAATTCTATGCGGTGGTCGTGTGCTCGCTGAAGTGGCAACCCCCCCGGCAAGTCGTTTGGAAAAATCCCTGGGTACCGTTCCAGTAGCTCCTGTAATTCGGGCGGTACGGCTGCCTGCAGTTTCTGAAAATCGCTCGGCTGCTCTGCTTCTCCCACCAATGCGATATCCACCACGTACACGTCAGCTCTAGTGGCGACGACCCGTTTCATCGTGATGGCGTTGACGTGGACCGTCGAAGACTCAGGTGACCGCCAGGGAGGTAGTTCGACCCATCTAACACTACTTCGCATAGTGCAGCTACCCGTCGTCCAGTCGATTCGCGGATTGTAGCGTCGCAGCCAGTCACGTCCCAGTAAAATGTAATGCCCATCCAGTGTCGTCGCGAGCATTTCCTGTATAAACCCGAAGTTCCCCCCGCAGCGAACTTTCACCCTCTCCACTTTTTCCCGTATTGCCAGTGGCGTGCCGTCAACTAAACGAGCATCAATCTCCGGTAAACAACGGCTAAGTTTCAGTTGCAGCTTCCGTGCAGTTGCAGTATTAACTAAAATGTGGCTTGCTCCTCTGCCTATAAAAATATTCAGTGTTGTCCCCTGTATTTTCCCGTAGATCAGTATTGGGCAATCCGTCTTTGTACCCTCCTTA